GCGCTCCCGGCTCGTTCAGGTCCGTTACCAGAAAAAAAAAGGTTCTGGACATCTGATGCCTGGATTGCTGTGTCCGTTGCTGAGACGCAAGAAGTACGTCGGGCGGGTTTCCCCGCAGAACTTGAGCATGTTCACCAGAAGTCGGTTCTTCTGCATGCTGGAGTTGCTGTCGAACGTCCCGCAGAGGTTGAGCACGGCCGCTGCTTGGTATGCCCAGCGCCGGCCTCGGAGGCGTTTCTTGATGACGTCCAGATGATGAGTGTGCCAATGCTCGTGGTTTTCCGGCGGCCCATTTTCCAGCGGGTCTCCGAGGCCCACCCGGCCGTTGAACTCGTCGTGCGAGGTGGTGCAGCTGATAAACCGGTCAGAGAGCCTGTCGTGGTGAAATGGCTTGTGCCGAATGGCTGTAGTGAGCCACTCCGAGCAACAACGCTTATCGTGTTCGCTCGGGGGCCTCGTGCTGACGTGCGCATCGCGCAGTATCTGCACTAAGTGGTTCTCCTCGGTGTTGAAGCTAAGGGCAGGTTCTTTCCGCGAGATATTGCAGACGCGCTGGCGGTCAAGAGCATCTTTATCAGCGTGTGTGGCGGTTTATTCTGCGTTACATTGCACCGCCCTGTATCGGAAGGTCGGGGCCGTCAGAAGCATGGGGCCTGTGGGCTGGCGTGGCCTCATCTGGTTCAGGGTTCCCAGGGGTTCGCGGAATCGCCTGCTTCCTTCTACCAGTTCAGTGGTAGCAGCAGGTTACCCCGCGGACGCAGAGGGCGGTTCAGCAGGTGTCCTTGCAGGGGTCGCAGCCGCGGCGGGCGCTGCAGATGAGCATGCACTCTCAGATGCCTTCTTCTTTTCGCGGGTGTCGTAGTGGGCATCCGGTGATCTTCGGAGCAGCTTCTGGTGCCTTTGATGTAGTCTGCAGTGACCGCTCACCCTCATCTCGCAGCGATAGCGCCCAGCCAGTTCCCGTGTGGATCTTGCGAAGAGTTGGGCCGCGCAAGTATGCGGGTTCCTTCGGCGTGGGGGTGGTGCTGCCTTGGAACGCTGATGCTGCTGCGGCCGCTGCCGGCCCCCTGGAGTGCCGTCTGTAAGCAAGTTTCCCCGCAGACCTTTGTGGCCTGTTGCTTCCAGAGTCGGCCTCCACAGGACCGGTCCTCCTCTTGCGTTTAGGTGATGCTGGACTTGGTGACCTTGGCGTACTTGGTGAGGGGGATAGATCGACATCCTTCTCAGATCGCTTCTTCGGGGGATTTGGGATCCTGGGCGGTTCCTCAGCGAGTGTCCCCGCATTTGTTGGCGCCGCAGGTTCCCCCGCATCTCTCGATGGAGATCTCTCTGGGGTAGGAATCCTTTTTGACTTGTAAAGTGGCATGTTCTTGATCTTAGGGCCTGCCTTGAATGGCCAACTGATAGTGCCTATCGTCCAGCTTACACAATACTTTGATGCCTAACCATCCATGTATCTGGTATGATACGACACCAGTGTACCAGGCGCTAAGTCCATGTCCCCCATCACTGGTTGGGTGATGTCCAAATTCGCATGGGTTGACTCGCTGCTGTAGGTGTATTCTGAATCATGACAGTAGCAGTAGGGTCAACTGCCTCAGCGCGGACAGGGTCGTCAGCCCTTGTATCGTCCATCGGAAAAGAGAAGCGGGTTGCCCCGCAGGTGATGCCGCAGCCATCATGTCATGATATCCTCCAGTGTATCGCTTGAGGCGGTGGTGGTTGCCGAGGTTCCTTCCACCTTTGCTCACTGAGTTTTGCCTCGTCTTCGGTGATCGGCCGGTAATCAGCCTTGGTCAAGCATTGCCCAGGAGGATGGTTAGTCGGATCCACCTTGCGACCCAAACTATCTCCATGAGACCAGACCCACGGTGTCTTCTCAAAGTTAGGGCTCCTTGAAAGACGCCCCATCGGACATGCGGGTCTGTGGTCTGCAAAATGTTCACAGCTGCAGACCTGGCACGCGTATTCTTCTCGGCCCTGAATAGTGGACCTTTTTGCGTCCCTTCTTGCAAGCGTAGCGGCCGACTTCGTTCCGAAACCTCCGTTCGCACGCGCCATCTAGCCATCGTCGCCCCGCGTAATATTGCGAAGTGAATACCAGTGGCGGATGTCGTGTTCGGTCCAGCCTTCGTCGAGCCAGTACTGCGTGGTTGATTCTGAGAAATTGGCGAGCCAGCCCATGATCTTCGTAGCTGACGAGGCGCTGTATGCCGTGGCCTTCGGGCTCGCCTGGCCGACCCTCCTTCTGAGGCGGGCTTCCCCGCGAGCGTTCCCCTCTAGGTGGGGTCCTTGGGGTCCTCGTGCCAGGGGGATGTGGGGGCTGTGCGCCGCTAGAACGGGCGCGTGAGTGCCCGCGCGAAAGACTCCGACCATGGCGCTGCGGGTGATGACTCCCAGCTCCCCAATCGTCTTCGTCGTCATCTTGACGATGCGCCCGCCTCCAAACTGGGCGGCTCGTAGACGGGTCGCGTGCTGCGAAGGTGAAGTGAACGCCTTTGTTATGTCGAACTTCATATTGAATGCGTTCGGACAAAGTCACCAGCGTCGCGCGGGTTTCCCCGCAGAGGGTCGTCGTCGTATGTTTCTCCGTATATCGGATTGCCAATGGCCGGCGGCTGGAGCATCACGTGTAGCTCCTCCACTGTTGCTGGTATTGTAGCATCAGAGTCCGCGGGTGCCCCCGCCATGTCGTGGTCCGAATCGGCGGGCGCGTGGAAATCCTCGACGAACTCAATCTGTGCAGGTTGCCCTGCGATGGGAATGCCCCACCAGTCCGCCAGGTTGATCTCGTCGCGGCCAACGTAGATCTCCTCGAAGAGCTCGTCGGCATATCTCTCGAGGGACACGCTGGCGCTTAGATGCCGGGCGGCCATGAAGTGGGCGGCGGCAGTGGGGGCGTCTCCGGGTTCGGCTAATGGCCTCTCCCAATCGACCTACTAAATGTCCGAATCGGGTTGCGCCACATGTATCGACGGACCCCTGCCTCTCCCATCGCCGTGGGGGCACTCACGACGGAAGTGTTGCGTGCTATGGCAAATATCACGTTCCATGGTTTTCCCATTGGCATCTCTCGGGTTACCCCGACGTCCAACGCCCTTTCCTGAGGTGCGCCTGCGGCCTCTACCCGTTCCCTGGACTAGTTCTTCGTATTGCGGTCCAGTAAGGGATGCCAAGAATGCCAACATTCCTCTGCCATGTAGTCGCCGTCGTTTGCCTCTACCCTTGCCCTTGCCCTTTGCTCTGAACGCCCGTCGGACAGCGCGTCGTGCCTTGCGAACTGGTTTCTTCATGGCACGTCTCCAGCGGCGTTTACGTTTCTGGTTTCCTAGAAATAACCACTGCGCCTGTTGCTCTGCTGTGAGATACGTAAGCATGTCGGAGTAATCTAGGGCACCAGTTCCTTCATCTGATGAAGTGTCGGTGCCAGTCCCAGAGTCAAATTCAGACTCGGCGGGTCGCCCCGCCGAGCCTACAAGGGCAGTGGCTTGGGCAGGGGCCGCCGTTGCCGACGGCCCCTGCTATCGAGCCCAAGAGTCTTGCGACCCCGTAGGCTGGCCACCATTTTGAGCTAATAAGGTGGTGGCTTCTGTTGGTTGTGGATCATCGTTCCAGACGTTGGTAGCAGGTTGCCCTGCATTGGTATCAGTGTGAAAAGGTTTCGGTGCGATGACCTTGACTAAATATACCACCAATGTTGCCAAGGGTTCGCTCAGCAATGTGAGCATGGGACCTCGTGCGTTCTAGTTGCGAGTCAAACTGTTGCTGGGTCCTTGGCATTGGTGGTTGAGTGGTTGTAGTAGCTGTTGGCGCGCGACGTACCCACTCCCAGAGCTCTGAATCGGATGACTGTTAGGATCTGGAAGTTGGAGATCTTGAAGCCCGAATCTCGGCCTCGAAGCGTGCTATCTCAAAGCGTGCTAACGTCTGGTCGATCCGCTCTGCCGCGTGGACGCGGAATTCGATGAGAGTCGTTCCTGCATTCAGTTGGCATCCCCCCCTCTAGATTTCCAAACTTATTGCTGAGGAGGAGCATGATGTAGGTGACTCCGTCAGTATGGCGACCGCCGATGTTCACGCCAAAGTTAACGAGTCCAGAGGGTTCTCCCATGGTCATGGTCCTTGCAAGCCCTCCCAGACCGCGCTGCAGTGCTGCGGCCTGTTGGGATAGGGTCACAGTGCCTGTGGTCATGTTGATCCGTACCTCGCGAACGAGTTCACAGAAAGGTACATTGCCGGCAGGGTCCCACTGGGGGCCGGTTGTACGCGCGTCGTCTCCACCACGCTGTATGTGCCCCACAGCTCGCCCGATAGCGACCCGCAGGAGGCCGAAAATGGTAATGCCAATCCAGTGGCCCCTTAGGTCGTGGTCGGACGTTCGTGGCTGGGGGTTGTGGTGTATTGTAGTTAACCTGCGTGGGGGTGGATGCGGCGCAATGTCGTATCGCATGCTACCATGCATTGTGTCTATAAAAAAGATTCCGATTGGAGTAGGAGGGTGGACTTCAGGAGGGTGGTAGCGCAAGGACGTGGGACTCATGTAAGAGGCCTCCGCGAGAACGGAGGTAGCACTGCAAGTGTCCTTGCGGTTGTGCGTAGTTATGTACATTCCTTCGCGCAGACCCACTGCACCCTGATGTTCCATCATGTCAGTAGTCCACCAGATAGTGCCGTGGATGGTAAGGAGTCGGGCTAGAGCTGACCACCATAGGCCAGTTCCGCGACCAACTTTGAGGGGGGTTGGGAGGCCCAACCAGGAGTTTCGCCTAAGGCGAAGCCCATATCCAACTGTTGTACCGTAGTAACGATAGTCCAAGAAGTAGGACATCGTCGCGGGAGCGACGGGCCATGTCAAGCGAATGCGTGTTTCGGTCTCAATTGCAAATCGTGTGTCTCGCGATGAGGCGTAGTCATATGTTGGTGGCTGGCCGCTTGAGAACAAACGGCCGCGGACAAAGGTTCGCTATCTCTCGTCTTTGCCCCAGCCTCCTTTAGAGTTCCATACCCTCGGTCGTCTGCTCGTCGATGGCCTCAGCATGTCTCTCGCGCTCCACGACCTGCAGCAGCGGCGGCTGCGCCTCAGCGCTTGCAGCACCGCTCTCCCGAGTCTCGGAGTGATGATCGTCGCGAACGGCTTCATCAAGAGTGGTATTCTCAGCACCATCCGTCTCGAGCTCGTGCATCTCATCCTCCACGTCCTCCTCTGCTGCGTCGGTCTCGTCCTCGAGGACCGAGGGGAAGTGGGCCTGCTTGCCTCCAGCAGACGGCTTCAGCTCCCCCCGCAAGGTCTCGACGTCGCACTGCGCGGTCCAACAACGTCCAGCCAAGATGGCGCCTCCCTCCTCAGCATCTTCACGGGCGCGGAGTCGAGCGGCCGTGACGCCGTGGGGGCAGAGGTGCACGACGCCGCCGTCGTGGTGCCGGCGTCGTCCAGCCGCGGTCCCGCGGCCGCGATTGCGATGTCCGCATCGCTAGCCTGGGCGAACCCGCCTGGCGGCGCCCTGCTGCTCTGAGCCGCAGCACGGGGCGCGACGCTGCGTCGCCGTCGCGCCAGGAGCCCGGGCCACCTGCTCCATCACCACCACCTCCAAAATGTACACGAAGGCCAGCCTCGCACGCCAGTTGGCGTGCGGCGGCGCGCTGCCCGCCTCGCGGCCGGTGGGCGGAGGGAACGAAGCGAAGCTCCTCGGCGCGAAGAGGACAATGCCGCCACGCTTCCGGGCAGCCCCCCACCATTCCTGCGAGCCAACAGCCCCGCCCCCCCTCGACCCTCACGCCCGCCGAATTGCCCCGACGGATTGGAATCGCAACGTACGCCGAGGGGCAGGGTCCAGGAGCAGGGGGCCTACGGAAAGGCCAGAGCCAAAATGGCTACGGAGGAAGAGGAGGAGGAGGAGGAAGAGGAGGAGGAGGAGGAGGAGGAGGAGGAAGAGGAGGAGGAGGAGGAAGAGGAAGAGGAGAAGGAGGATGGAGGAGGAGGAGAAGGACGAGGAGGATTAAGAGGAGGAGGGGGAGGGCGAGGAGGAGGGGGGTGGCTGACGTGGAGCGAGGGAGCAGCTCGAGCGCGTCCTGGTAGAGCAACCTGTCCACGGGGTCCAACAACGTCGCCGCCTCCGCGCGCTCCAGCAACGCCCGGAGCGCCTGGGAGAAGCTTTACAGCTCGGTCAGCGGATCGGAACGGCGGCCACACATCTGTCCAACGGGACGGCTCAACAATGCGCTGGCGCGCGTGGAAAGCTTGGAAAGGCATCGGGCAGTGAGGCGGTGGAGCAATGAAAAACCATGCGCCGTGGCAGAGCCGACGACGACTGCGACAACGACGAGGGGGAAGATGATGCAAGATAATAGAAGGACGAGAAGTTCATAACCGGGAGGCGTCATTCACTTTCCTCTCCTCCGCCTCCTCTTCCTCCTCCTCTCCCTCCTCCTCTTCCACCCCCCCCTTTTCCTCCTCTTCCTTCTCTGTTTCATCCGTTCTCCTCGTCTTTCTCCTCCTGCTGTTGCTGCTGCTCCCCATCTTTCCCCGTATCCCTCTTCATCATTGGTATATACTCCCGCTTTGCCAACTGGCCGGCCGATAGCCAGCCAATCTGGGGGGTCCCGTCCGAAGTCAAATTTGTGCTTTCAGTATGGACATTATGGCGTCCACGTTGGTAATGCGTGGCAGGAATGGGACGGGGCCACATCCCGCGCGAAAGGCCTAAATGTCGCTGTCGCCTCGGCACCGCGCAGATCTCTGCTGAGAGTGGCGCTCCCGCGTTGGCGCGGTTCTCACTCGCCACTTTCTGGGGCCCTGCGCGAGCAGGCGACTTACGCATTTCGCTCGGAACTGGCGTTCCCACGCGAGCGCGGCGCAAGGTCGTTCGCCGAATCGCATGACAACGACAACTGCAGCGGGGCCGCGCGGAAGCGGGCGAAATGCCGACCTCGCCCAAGCGCCGTGCAGGTTGTGAGTGAAAGTGCTAGTGCTTCGTCGGTGCAGCACATGCTTCGCGCTCGCCGCGCTCATCGGAAATGGCGCTCCCGCTCCTGGGCAGTCGCGTAGCCTTCCCGTTGCCAAGTCGTGGGAACCAAGGCCGCGCGCGAACGCCTTCCTCTCGCTAAGTGGGAGTGCGCTCCAACCCCCAATGTCAAGCTGCGCCAAGTTTGATTCTTATATCGTGAGAGGAAGGATGCGAATAGGCGGGGCCATCGAACCCGCTCGACCTGGCTCACTTGGTTTTCTGCTCCTACTCTTGCTCATGCACCTCCTCCTCGATCCCCTTGTCCTTCTCCTGCTCCTCGTTCTTCGCCTCCGTCCTCTTCATATTATCTTCCTCTTCCTCCTCCTCCTCCTCCTCCTCCTCCTCCTCCGTGCGTCCTCCCAACGGGGCGTCTCATGCACCGCGCCAAGACTCCGGAGCCCCACGGATGGATTCGGCATCCCTACGGAACCTGCAACTGTGGAGTTTTGCGTCGGGGGCCGAAGCCTCTCCGCCACAAAATGGCGTGGGCGCCGCTCGGATCGCCCAGGGTAAATTCCAACATGCGTCCTGGAAAATGCCGCGATCGCATATGAGTGAGAGCCCTGGGGATGCTTCGTGCCATCTCCCCCGTCCTGGTAAACTCCTCCTCTGCCTCGATCTTCGCTCCGCGCTCCTCCACTCTCCCTCCTCACCCTCCTCCTCCGCAATCTCTTCCTCCTCCTTCCTTCCTTCCTTCGAGCGCTTTGGGCGGTCCCACGCCCGCGGGCCGGGCGCCCCCCCTGCCGGGCCACGCGGTCAGGGGCCTAAACAACCGCCTGCGGCTCATACCTCGCCGCCTGCGTGTCCACCTCCCCATGGCCGGGGGCCAAGGCGCGGGCTGCCCGGCTCGCGGGCAGCCTGGCGCCCGGACGCCCCAGGGAGGGCGGTCACCCACGACGGCCCTTGGGGAGACGCCGTCGGGGCAACCTGGGCTGCCGAAGCCGGCGGCCCGCCGAGGCGACGCCGCCGGCACCGGCCTCGTGTTGCTCTTGGCGGCGCCGGCTGCTCGCGATGGTCTGCTGGGGAGGCACTGCGGGCGCGCGGATGCGCGCCTGGGGCAGCGCGCCCAAGCCCGCGGCGAGCCGGCGGCCGGCCGGCCTCGGTCGCGCCCCCGGCGGCCTCGGCGGGGCGTCAGTGCCGCGCCCACGTGGGGGCCCCGCAGCGTCGCGCCGGCTGGCCGGCTCTGGAGGCCCGGTCGGCGGACCCGGGCGCGTCTGCGGCAGGCTCGGCCAGGGGTCCCAGGCTTGCGCACGGCCGCGCTGGCGACCCGGCCTGGCGGACACGGGCTGGGGCGCCCCTGGTGGCCGTGGGCGGCGCGCCCAAGCCCTCCGCGCGGTCACGGCTGCTGGGGCCGGCCCCACTGTTGAGGGGGGCCCGCTTTTTCCACGACGGCGCCCAGCTCCCTCCTCCTCCTCCTCCTCTTCCTCCTCTTCCTCCTCCTCCTCCTCCTCCTCCTCCTCCTCCTCCTCCTCCTCTCTCTTCCACCTTGTACGCCTCTTCTTTTTCTCCTCCTTCCTTGGGGAACCTCCACCGACCTCCCGTTTCACTGCTGCAGCAAGCGCGCGAGGAAGGGGGGAGCCAGAAGGAGGGAAGGCGTTGAGAGGGGAAGGAGAGAAGGAGGAGGGAAAGGAGGAGGAGGATGAGAAGGAGGAGGGAGGAGGAAGGAGGGCAGGAAGAGATGATGGAGGAGGGTTACGTAGGAGGAGGTTGGTGGATTGAGGGGGAGAAGGAGAGGAGGGGTGCAACGAGGCACCCGTCAGAGCATTATATAGCAGACGCAAGCGCAAACAAGTGGGCAAGCAGTCAGTCAAGCAAGCAAGCGTGCGCATCTGTCACATCCGATCCAATTAAACATGTTGCCATTGAGCTCCCGAGGCGCCCTGACGCTCAACGCATCCGTCGCAATGCAATCTGCTACACTCGCACGCCCGCCAAACGAACACAGGCTTGTTTTCGAAATCATCGCAATGACTTCGCACTGGATTTCTCGACTCAGATCTGTTTCGTCTGCAAATCTGTACATACCATGTAGACATGAAACCACCTCTTTAATACTACCAGCTTAGTGTTTGACGCAAGAACTACACAGTTGTGCCCTGTTCACTCCTAGGCCATGGTTGAATGGAAGTGGGGTGCACTGCAGTCCGCATGACTGTGCCTGGCAAACATCATATGCACTTGCGCGAAGGAGCGAAGGCAATACAGCAGCTGCGCATGGCGCTGCATGGAAATAGGCGAACAACTGTAGGGACATGTAAACGATGGGGATACATGTTGTACGTGCAGATACACCGATCTTTATGTTTCATGTGCATATGTATGTGAAAACACGTTTATACGTATCTATCGATGTAGATGGGCGCTGGTCTATTCCCCCAACCTTTGATTTCTGAAGGTTTGTTTATCCCATTTTCTCTACCGAACGTCACGATCGCATGGTGTAACGCAGGAGTGCAGGGTGATGAGTCGACACCCAGCGAGCGCAGCAGGAGGTGACGTCGATGATGCACATGGGGTTTGCTTTTTTCGTGCAGGGATCCCTGGGCCGATCTCAATGCGCAATCAGGGAGGAATGCGGTAGTGTATACGAACGGTAGTGCGCAGCGACGCGTGCAAGAACCTACCTGTGATGCTTCCCGATCGAATCTCCGTGTGGTGCTTTCTACAACGGATTCCTGGTGTGATGCTTTCCAATAGGAGCCCCTTTGCGAAGCGTTCCAAAAGATTTCCGCTGTGAGGATTTCCACCCTGTGTGGTGCTTTCCAAAGGAGCCTTGTTGTGAGGCTTTCCAATCGGATCTGTGTGTGGTGTTTTCCACAGGAGCCCTGTAGTGAGGTTTTCCTATCGAATCCCTTTGCGGCGCTATCCAAAATATTCCTGTTGTGAAGCTTCCAAATCGAATCCTTCTGTGGGGCTTTCTGGTGGATTCCTTTTTTTGCGCGGCTTTCCAATCGGAGCCCTCAATGGTGCTTTCAAACGTAGTCCGGTTGTGCAGCTTTCCAATCGTATCTTTTTGTGGTGCTGTCCAATGGACTCCGATTGTGAGGTTTCCCAGAAAAGAATATCTTTGTGGTGCTTCCAACGGATTCTTTTCGTGATGCTTCCCAATCGAATCTCCTTGTAGTGCTTTCCAAAGGACTCCTACTGTGATGGCTTCCAATAGAAACCCTTTGCGGCGCAATCCAAAATATTTTCCACTGTGAGGATTTGCCGTAGAATTCCTTTGTGGTGCTTTCGGGAAAAAAACCTTCTTTTGCGAGGCCTTCCAATCGCATCTCTGTGTGGTGTTTTCCAAAAAGAATCCTTGTCGTGAGGTTTTCCAATCGAACACCTTTGCGGCGCTATCCCACATGATTCCTGTTGTGAGGCTTCACGATTGAATTCATTTGTAAGGCTTTCCGATGAATTCCTTTTTGTGCGGCTTTCCAATCAGAGTCCTTATTGGTGCTTTTACGAGGGTTCTCTACTGCGAGGCTTTCCAATCAAATCCCTCTGTGCTGCTTTCCGATGGGTTCCTTTTGGTGCGGGTTTCCAATAGGAACCCTGTAGTGATGCTTTTCAGATTCAATAGCACCCCCTGTTTGGTGCTTTCCAGAAGAAGCCCTTCGTAGCGTTTTCAAGTGGATTCTTCTCGTGATGCTCTCTGGTAGAGGCCCTTCGTGCTGCTTTCCAAAACGTTCCTGCTGTGAGGCTTCCAATAAAAATCCCTGTGTGGTGTTTTCCACAACTGGTTCCTGTGGCGAGGCGCTCCGATCGCATCCCTTGGTTGCGCTGCCCAGAGAATCTCTGTTGCGAGGCCGCCCGGTAAAACCTGTTAGATTCCTTCGATCGGGTTCCAGTTGTTTGTTCCCGCAGGATCCTTCTGGGGTGCCTTCCAAAGGATTCCAACCATGATTGTCTCTGGCAGAATGCGTGTTGTTTGACAACGCTTTCCTACAGGATCCCTGCTGTGATTTCATGCGATGGACACCATGTGTAGCACTTCGCGCAATTTTCCATGCCCGAGGCTTTCAAATCGAATCATTTTGCGGTGCTTTCCAGCGGTTTCCTCTTGTGATGATTCCCAATAGAAGCCTTCAGCCGAGCTTTCTAAACGGTTTCGTCTATGATGCTTTACACTCGGATCCTTATTTGTAATGGTTCCAAGCGGGTTCCTGTTGCGAGGCCATAGGAACCGTGTGGGGTTGTTTTCCGAAGAATTCCTGTTGCGGGCGCGCCAATTGTGTTGTTCAAAGGATCTTTGTTGTGAGGCCCCCCGATACAGTTTTTTAGATCTCTTTCCGCAGGGTTCACGTTGGACGGTTTTCCCCACAGGGTCCCCCTGGAGCGCTTTCCAAAGGATTCCAAATATGATTGTGTCTAACAGGATGTGTGTACCGCTTTCCAAATGATCTCTGTTGTGAGGCCTCCTCATCCTCATCCATCCTCCTCATCCTCCTCCTCCTCCTCCCCCCTGGGGGGTGGAGGTGGGGGGCATTTTTTTTTTTTTTTCTTTCCCGCCCCCCCCCCACCCCGACCAGCACCAGCAGTAGAGAGGGCGGAGGTACCCCCCACTTGGTCACGAACCAGAGACATCGAGGTTCGCACAATCGAGGTCGCCACCACGCGGCCAACTCAGCGAGGTTCGCACATCGACCTTCACAACAAAAAACTGCGAGGAGGACGACAACAACAAACCTTCAACAAGCAAGGGGTGGGGGAGTAGGCCAGGACCCATATAGATACATGTGAATCTGAAACAGGACACGGTAGTACACACACAGCCATCATCGTATCTGTGCGTCTACGGATGCAAGCGCGCATGCGCCCACGTGCACGTTGGGTGATGCCGCATGCATTTGTACGCATGGGCGTTTGTTTGGTCCTCGATGAAGAAGCAGCAGCAAAGGCCACTTCCACGCGGCCTGGGAGCGTGGAGTTCCTCTGACTCTCGGCGATGGCCGAAGGTATTTTGTGCATTATGGTACTAGTCCTCGAACCAGGCGTTCTCGTCTTGGCTGCCTACAGCGTCGTCAAAATACGGGGCACAAAGATCGGAGTGAGGAACAAAAGAAGGAAGAGGGGCAGAAAGAACATATATCCATGGAGCGTCGTGTTAGCGCCAATGCTTGCGTGCGCGCGCGCTTCCACACTGCCAAAACGCACGCATGGGCGTACTTGGCAGTGTGAAAGCAAGAAAGGACTGATAATACCAATGGGCATATTGGATGCAAGGTTGAATCGTGAGGTTGATCTATGTGGGAAAGGAGATTTATATTTTTGACGAAAGCGGTACACTTGTACATATACACTGAAATGACGATGCCAGTCCGTGTGCCCCAAACAATGGATTCGCGGACTCCAGGCGAAGCATCATGTGTGGGCTTGCTTCTCCAGGAGTAGGAGTGGGAGTAGAAGCGGGAGTCCATGCAACAACGCGCAAGAGCCCGCGCAAACAAGGAGAATGTGCAGGACGCCATCGGAGTCGACGCATAGGGACCCACGCGCGGGAGCCGACGCATAGAAGTCCAGGCAACGACGCACGGGAGTCCCAACATAGAACTCCAGCCAAAAACGAGTGGAACCCACGCGCTGGGGTCCAAGCAGCAACGGCTGTAGACACCGCCCGAGGCCATAGAAGTCCACGCGTGGGAGTCCACGCGCCAGCGGCTGACCCCGCAGAGCAGGGCCGGATCATGAAGGCACACAGGAAACCTCTCAGCGCAAGCACTGCTCGGGGACTCGTAAATCTGCACACGCATCGATCTATACATGTGAACACACATGTACATACATGTGTCCCGTATACGTATATACATGTGTTTATGCAGGGACAGGGAAAGAGAGAGAGAGAGAGGGATAGAGAGAGAGCGCGAGACACAACTCATCATGTACATCAAAATATCGGGCATTTGAATGTGCAGGACTGTAGAAAAGGAACGCAACTAGAAGAGACACCATATAACATCTCTGCGGGGGAAGAACAACAGGGAAAGGAGACGAGAGAGAGAGAGAGAGAGAGAGCAGAAAGAGAGAGAGAGAGAGGGATGCAGATATGCACGCCCACCTCGTAAGCAGCGCTGTTCTCAACCTTTGCGCCAGGACTAGCGCCTTGCGAGAAGGACTGAGATCTTTCGCAAGCTAAACGTGCAAGCATGCGCTGCATAGACATGCATGCCTGGTTCTTCCGAATGCCCTGTGCTGACAGATAACAAAGACATGCTTCTCAAGGCAGCCGGGGACGTACTAGGCTCAACAGGACGAAGCAAATATGCTTCGCCTCTCGCGCAGAGGATGGAGGAAGAGGAGAGGGTGAAGGAGAGAGGGAAGGGAGGAAGGGACCCACACCCCCGACTTTTTTTTTTCTTTGTAGTTTTTTTGGTGTTTGTGTATGTGGGGGTGTTTGTTTGAATGAATGATAATTTTTGATTTTCGTTGTTGCAGCGTGGACCCCTGGAGGTCTCGACCCCTTCTCGGAGACCAGCTCTTCACCCCGAGACGCTTTTTGACGGTCCTAGCGACTGGTCAGGGCAATTGAATGTTGGAAGAGTCCAACATGACGTTTCTTGGGGTGTGTGAAACGGCGCGAAGGGGTCTGGGGAATGGGGGGGGGCAGCGGATGAGGAGGAAGCTGCGATTCTTGTTCCATCTCTAACACATCCTGGGCTCTCCGCTCGTGCGACAACGCCCGCCTGCTCTTCCTCCCTCTCCTCCTCCTCCTCCTCCTCCTCCTCCTCCTCCTCCTTCTCTCCTCCTCTCCACCTCATCTCCACGTCCTCTCCACCTCTTCTCCACCTCCTACTCACCTCTTCACCACCTCCTCTTGCTCCTCCTCCTTCTCCTTCCCTCGGGTGGGCCTCCTGTTCTTCGTAGCCGCGGTGCTCATAGAGTTCAGGGGGCGGTATGACATGTCGAAACGATTATTATGATGGCGGTGATCGTGGTGGTATTGGTAATCCCTTTCTCCTACATCCTTCTTCCCTAGCAATGACTCCTCCCTGTCGCCTCACCAGCTGTGTCAATAGGGTGGGCCAAGCGCTTACGATCTCGAACCTTCAACTGCATGGATGGAAAATTATGCTAACGGAGTTCCCCACATAAAGATGTTACGGGGTTCCATTGCTTCTTGTCTGCGCTCTGGTGGGGCCTCCCTGGAGGGGTGGGAGGGGCACGAAACCTGATGAATAAGATGGTGTGCGAATACCCTGCCCGCTCTGGTGGGGCCTCCCTGGAGGGGTGGGAGGGGCACGAAACCTGATACATAACATGGTGTACGGATACCCTGCCCGCTCTGGTGGGGCCTCCCTGGAGGGGTGGGAGGGGCACGACACCTGATACATAACATGGTGTGCGAATACCCTGCCCGCTCTGGTGGGGCCTCCCTGGAGGGGCGGGAACGGCACGAAACCTAATAATAAAATATGGCGTGCGAATACCCTGCCCGCTCTGGCGGGGCCTCCCTGGAGTGGCGGGAGGGGCACGAAACCTGATAAATAATATGGTGTGCGAATGCCCTGCCCGCTCTGGTGGGGCCTCCCTGGAGGGGTGGGAGGGGCATGAAACCTGATAAATCATATGGTGTGCGAATACCCTGCCCGCTCTGGCGGGGCCTCCCTGGAATTTTGGGAGGGGCGCGAAACCTGATGAATGATATGGTGTGCGAATACCCTGCCCGCTCTGGTGGGGCCTCCCTGGAGGGGTGGGAGGGGCACGAAACCTGATACATAATATGGTGTACGGATACCCTGCCCGCTCTGGTGGGGCCTCCCTGGAGGGGTGGGAGGGGCACGACACCTGATAAATAACATGGTGTGCGAATACCCTGCTCGCTCAGGCGGGGCCTCCCTGGAGGGGTGGGAGGGGCACGACACCTGATAAATAACATGGTGTGCGAATACCTTGCTTGCTCAGGCTGGGCCTCCCTGGAGGGGTGGGAGGGGCACGAAACTATAAATAACATGGTGTGCGAATACCCTGCTCGCTCAGGCGGGGCCTCCCTGGAGGGGTGGGAGGGGCACGAAACCTGATAAATAACATGGTGTGCGAATACCCTGCTCGCTCAGGCGGGGCCTCCCTGGAGGGGTGGGAGGGGCACGGCATGGTGTGCGAATAACCTGGAGGGGTGATAAATAACATGGTGTGCGAATACCCTGCTCGCTCAGGCGGGGCCTCCCTGGAGGGGTGGGAGGGGCACGAAACCTGATAAATAACATGGTGTGCGAATACCCTGCTCGCTCAGGCGGGGCCCCCTGGAGGGGTGGGAGGGGCACGAAACCTGATAAATAACATGGTGTGCGAATACCCTGCCCGCTCAGGCGGGGCCTCCCTGGAGGGGTGGGAGGGGCACGAAACCTGATAAATAACATGGTGTGCGAATACCCTGCTCGCTCAGGCGGGGCCTCCCTGGAGGGGTGGGAGGGGCACGAAACCTGATAAATAACATGGTGTGCGAATACCCTGCTCGCTCAGGCGGGGCCTCCCTGGAGGGGTGGGAGGGGCACGAAACCTGATAAATAACATGCGTGCTCAGGCTACCCCTCCCTCGCTCAGGCGGGGCCTCCCTGGAGGGGTGGGAGGGGCGCGAAACCTGATAAATAACATGGTGTGCGAATACCCTGCTCGCTCAGGCGGGGCCTCCCTGGAGGGGTGGGAGGGGCACGAAACCTGATAAATAACATGGTGTGAGGAAAGGCATGGTATGGTATGGGATGGTGGATGCATGGTATGGTATGGTAAGGTATGGTATGGAGTGGCATGGTATTGGTATGGTATGATACAGTATGGGATGGTGGAGGGAGCGGGAGGAGGAGGAGGAGGAGGAGGAGGAGGAGGAGGAGGAGGAGGAGGAGGAGAGGATGTTCTGGGAAAACAAGAACCCCACTCAGGATGTGGGGGAAAAAATCGTTTTCAAAATGGGGCTTTAGCATTGGCGCCGGCACGCTTGTCTTAATATTATCCAGCAGTTTCACGGGTGAACGGCGAATGGCTTCCAACGTGGGTCTCTGGCCTTAGCGCCACGCACACTCCTCTTGAGATCCGCCACCGTATCTTCACTGAGAGGGCGTCTGGGGCTCCTCTGCGTTTGGCTCCTCTGCGTTTGGTTGTAACATGTTTTCTAAGACCGTCCCCTTCCCCCCCCGCACCCCCCTGCCCATAAGCGCCCCTGGAAAATAAACGTCCCTATACATTCCCCCCCTGAATGTGTTCTCCAGCGCTCAATTCAGCCTCCAGATGGCTCCAAACATCTGATGTTGTCTAAGGCCGCCCTGCTCCCCCCCCGCACCGCCCTGCTTATGAGCGTCTCTAGAAATTCCCCCCTTGAATCTGCTCTCCAGCGCTGCCTTCAGCCTCCAGGCGGCTCCAAGAGTCCGCAGCCATTTTGGCTCAAGGCTGATGCACCAATGGGGGCTCCGCGCCTCCGTGCCAAACTGGGATAGCTCTGTTCCCCACGCCAGTCTGAAGTGTTTCGTGAGCTCCTGTCGGAGCATACTTTCGTGAGCTCCTGCAGGAGCGGATGGTCAAGTATGGCAAGCAGGGCTTCTCAACTTGAGTGCAGTGTGGCAGCTGGGCGTGGAATTGGGGGCTCAAGAAGCAGAAGGGGGTGTGCGCGGTTTGCAACATACCTCAGCCAGGATGGAGCACCACTGCGAGCGGCACGTGGTGGGCGCCGTGGTCCTCGGGCGGTGGGAGGCATGAGCATAGGCAGTCTCAGCCGTCTCTCGCCAACCTCGGGGACTACCTGTCGAAGGCTCTCGCTGGTGCTGGGCTCGCTGGGGACCCCGACGCGACGAGCCTGGCGACGGAGTTCAGCACCCTGGCGTCCCAGAAGCTCGTGGCGGCTCCTGTGCCGCCCAAGCCCCCGCATGCGCAGCTCAAGGAGGCTACGGCAGATTGCTCGCGCAAGCAGGAGGCACTAGAGAGGGCTGCCAAGACGCTGGACCAGGCTCGCCTCCAGCTCGATAAGGCCCAGTCCAAGTTCGACGAGGCCGCCGACGCGGTCATGGCAGCCGAGCTGCATCGCCTGGAGGTGCAGGAGGCCGCGAACCCGCCCGAGACGGCCAATCAGTCCTTATTTGGGGTGAACCCGCTTTTCGAGCGCCTCGATGAGCTCGAGGAGAACGACGAGCAGGCGCTCGAGCGGTTCCTGAAGCAGCTGCAGGACGTCACGCAGCAGGCTGAGGCCAAGCAGAAGGAGCTCCAGACTCTGCTGGAGCGTGCGCGGTCGGCGCACCAGGCGGCGGCCAAGCGGCGCAAGCGCGGCGCCGATGGCGAGGCCGTCGAAGGCGGCGCGGGTGGCACGGCTGCGGCCAACTCTGGCGCCCCCCACAACGCCTGGCGCCGCTGCGGCCGCCGCTGGGCCCAGCAAGTCCAAGGTCGTGGTGCAGGAGAGCGACCAGAAGGCCATGCTCGAGCGCATCAAGGCCAGCGCTCAGTCGCAGGCGCGCGAGGCCGCAGCTAGAGAGCCCGCTGGCTCTGGCAAAGGCGGCGCTGCGGGCTCTGGCAAGGGCCCTGCTGCTGCTGGTGTTGGTACGGGCCGTGTTTAGCACGGCGGCTAGCCCGTCCTGCAGGGGCGAGACTGCAGGAGTACCTCTTCATGATGAGTCCGAGGACGCCTCGTCTTTGGATTGGACATCTTCTTCGGTAACCTAACGGAGTTGGGCCCGCATGCTGCGCGCTTCTTGGCATACGTCGTGGCCCTTGTTGAGACGCACAAGGGAGAGTGGGACATGCCAGACATCTGTCAGTCGAGTGATAAAGACGACTGGCGTTTGGCCTACACGGCTGCTCGCCCCTCGGGCAAGTCTGAGAGCGGCTTGTCCGGCGGCGAGTGGATCCTCGCGAAGAAACAAGTGGCAACGTCGAGCTTTGAGAGTGCTCGGCAGTCGGCGCGTGCTGCTGGGCGTCTGGACCCCTGCCGCGGGTTCGCGCCGATGGTGATCCACGCCAAGGGCGGCAACTTGGTTCTGATCGCCGCCTACCTTCAGCCGGGCCTCGGCGTGAAGGGCTGGAACAACGACGTCTTGGTGGCGTTGGGGGCGTTCGCGCGAGCGCTTGCAGATCCGTGGCTGGTCATGGCGGACTGGAACATCAAGCCCGCGGCCTTCCGAGACACCGGTTGGCCCCGGAAGCTCGGCTCCGCCGTGGTGACGCCCAGCTGCCGTACGACGTGCC